AAAAATTTTTTTTTTTTTTTTTTTTTTTTTTTTTTTAAATTAATACATAAGCACAGTCAGGTTTTTCAGCAACACCACATTTATTTGCAATAATATTTTCCAGTTGAAATTTTAATTTCAGAAAAAAAAAAAAACACATTCCACTTATATATTTATTATAGCGTACAAGTCAATAACTATATATATATATATATATATATATAGTTTTAGTGGTCTTTTTGGGTGATATTTTTTTCTGATAATTTTTTATAAGATATCATTGAGTTTGAAGATTGAAGATGAAATTGAGTTAATTAAAAACTAGAAGATAAATAAGGCTATCGAGAAAAAGAATAATATTACCAAATAAATTTTTTATTTATGTATTTATTTATTTATTGAGAAGATTGTCTTGTTATTAATTTTTTAATTGAAACTGTCAACAAAAATATGCAATATCAGAATATTTATTTCAATAATGATCTTCTTCGGAGCGATAAAAAAAAAAAAAAATACTGAATTTGTAAAGTTTTTGACAGCTGTTACATGGGTTAGGTCATGATTAATTAAAATAGTGATTTAAAATATGATGTAAACTAGAAGACACCGCACATGATTTTATAAATATAAAGTTTTGACCCACTCATTGGATTCATTTTTTCTTTTTGTTTATTTTTCGTCTTGATTGCATATGATCATACGCATTTTAATATATAAATTATATATATATATATATAAACAGATTTATTTTAAGGAAAATAAATAATATAAGAGATGCCTCAACTATTGAAAAATGTTGGTACTTTTAATATTCATATTTTCGAAATTATTTGGTGAGGTGAAGACTGAATTTCTAACTCCTCAATTAAAAATATTTTTAGTTTACAAATAATTTTTATTATTCGAAAATTTTCTTCACAAAAAAAAAGAAAAGAAAAGAGTTAAAAATATTAGCTTAAAAAGAAGAATTCAAACATACAAATCCACAATTGGAGGTGGTGCGTGGATGAAATCTGACCATCCAATAATTAAAAAAATAATAATTAGAAGGTAGGATGTAATCTGAAAATATTTATTTTTTAATAAGAAATTGTGGGAACAGAAAGGAATTTGTTTATTAAAAAAAAAGAAAAAAAAAGAAGGGGAAATTGTTTTTAAGTTGCAGCTGTGAAGTGGTTGAAGATGGATGAGTGGAAGAAGCGCAGAGTTGAGTTTCTTGGTTCTTGGCCTATAATTACTCCTTCCGCACCATTTTTTCTCCTTTACTGTTCAAATTTTCTGAGCTGGACCACACGCGTCATTTCCCTTTTCCTCCATTTTCTCACTTCCCAAACACCTCTCTCTCTTCTCTTCTTTATTCATTTCTTTAACGCCTTTCCTTTTCTCTTTCATTCCTTTTCTTCTCTCTCTCTTCATTCCTTTTGGGTTTTGATATTGTTTTCTTCCCAAACCACCTTCATCTCCGCCGCATTCTCCTCCAACCTCCCCTCTGCTTTCTCGCTCTCTTTCTCTCTCTCTCTCTCTGTGTCTGAGAAGAAAAAAAGGGAACAAATATTGGGGAGAGCCTTAGTGTTCGTAAAGAATGGAGAAAAGGGTTTTAATCCAATCCACACTTTACGCATTGTTTTATCCATTCTGACTTTTAAAACCCTACAATTCTGGGTTCCTGTTCTTTCTTTCTTTCTTTCTTTCTTTTTGGTTTACGACGGACTCAGAACTTTTGTTTTTACCTCTTTACCTCTTTTTCTTTGTTGGTTTTCTGAGAAAGATTGAACAATGAGGGAACCCCATTTGGGGTTTGGGGTTTTCCTTTTGGTTTTTGTCTTGTTTCTGCTGTTTTTGGATTTCTCTGTTTACGCTCAGCCGGCTGGTGCTGGTGGTGATGATGAGACAGTGATGAATCTTTTGAAGAATAGTATTGGAGCCCCGGATTCCCTTGGATGGACTGGTTCGAATTACTGTGAATGGAAGCACGTTAAATGCGATTCTCAGAACCGAGTGGTTAAAATTCAAATTGGGAACCAAAATCTCAAGGGATCACTTCCCTCGGATCTCTTTAGCCTCTCGGCGTTAGTGCAATTAGAGGTACAGAGCAATCAGCTGACTGGGCCGTTTCCTAATCTCGCTGATTCACTCCAGATACTTCTAGCGCATGATAATCTGTTTACATCCATGCCGGCTGATTTCTTCGCCAAGAAGTCGGCTCTGCAAACGATAGATGTCGACAACAATCCCTTCATGGCGTGGAAAATTCCTGATAGCATTCGAGATGCTTCTGGTCTTCAGGAATTATCGGCCAATCGCGCTAATGTAACTGGTAACACCCTTCAAATTTTCGATGGCACGACGTTTCCGACTCTTAGGAACTTGCATTTGGCGGGTAATTTTCTAGAAGGTGGATTACCAGTAAGCTTTGCGGGTTCTTCGATTCGGTCGCTTTGGTTGAATGGACAACAGAGTAACTCTAAGTTAAACGGTTCAATCGCCATATTGCAAAACATGACTAATCTGCAGGAGGTTTGGTTGCATATGAACCACTTTTCAGGTCCTTTGCCCGATTTCTCTAACCTTCGGGGGTTAGAGACCTTGAATTTGAGGGATAATCAGCTTACGGGTATTGTTCCTTCGTCCTTGATAAACATGAAATCCCTCGTGGTTGTGAATTTGACGAATAATATGCTTCAAGGACCCACCCCTGCGTTTAATCCTAATGTAAAGCTGGATATGAGACCAGGATCCAACAATTTTTGCACGGATTCTCCGGGTGAGCCTTGTGATCCCCGAGTGAGTGCTCTGTTATCGGTTGCACAATCAATGGGGTTTCCAACAGTCTTTGCCCAAAGCTGGGTAGGGAACAGTCCTTGTGAGGATTTCAAAGGTGTTGCATGTACTGGCAACCCCGAAAATATAACCATAATCAACTTTAAGAATATGGGTCTTGCGGGCTCTATTTCTCCTAGCTTTTCATTGCTTACATCTGTAC